CATCCAACATTCATCAAATTAATTGTAAAATTAAAACACGCTGATATAAGCAATTCTACTACCCGCTTAAATGACGATAGCACTTCATGAATTAAACATAAACACAGAAGCCATAAGGCATTCTAACAACCAAAGAAAATAAAACATAGTTTAAAAACTTCATACATACATGGATGCTAAGCGCACCTCGTCCTGGCGTAATGGTTAGGGAGCTCATCATTCGTAATTATTCGAGCGAGCTTGTCTCGCTTGAATAATTACGACTGATGAGTTCGATCTTCACTGGGTGCCTCATTCATATGGCTTCTATCAGATCTAACCTACTCTTAGAAAATCACTTCATTCAATATATATATATATATATATATATATATATAGATATATATATATATATATATATATATATATATAGATAGATAGATAGATATATGAAAGTAGACAGTAAAGTCGACACGCAGAGGTAACAGAGTTTCATGCTAAACGCAATCACCAGGCCGCCTGATGATTGCATATAGCATGAAACAGTCTGTCGCATCTGAGTGTTAACTTTAATGTTTACTTTTATATTTACATACGCTCTATCTCTGTTATTGAGTAATTTATCCCATGAATATAGGATACCTTAAAACAATATTTTTCATATTATATATATATATATATATGTATATATATAATTATTTATATATTATATATATGGTATAATTATTTATAAATCGCTAGAAAGCGCTCAATATCAGAGATAGAGCTAACATATTTATATCTATCCAACCAAATATATATATATATATATATATAGGTGTTTTTTTTTTTTAGCTTTTACTGTTAAATTTCTATTTCCGTCTATAACGGGGTTGAATAAAACTGACAAATATTTTCGTCGGTCGAAAGCTTATTCCCTATACGAGGTGATTTTGGATTTTTTTTATATATATATTATATATTATATATATATATATATATATATATATATATATATGCTGATAAATCACTGAAATGCGAAACTGATAGTCACTGTGCAGTGTAGAAATCCAAGGAAGTGCGAATGGTTTAGCGGTTTCGAATGAGAAATCGGAGAGGCGATTTCGAGTTGCAGTAGCGTTCGTTACATTGACTTGCACACAAATACATTTGGGAAAGGCATGAATCCATACCTCCCCATCTACGGGTTAAATACTAGTACGTGCATGTGGAAAAAATCATTTTTCCAAAAAAACTGTTAATGCAATATTCACTCGCGAGAAAAAGAATTATTCCTATTCCAAAATATATTTCAGCTTTAAATAACGCATAAAGTGTTGATAAGCCGTAAAAAATACGAATCAACCAATCAACAATTTCAATGTCCCCTCTCCTCTCTCTCTCCCTCCATATGGTGCTGTCGACTCAAAAGCGAGTATGACCATCACTGAAATCTCCAGCCCTCAAGTTAAGCCCCCCCCCCAACACTGCATTTATCGGTTATGCGAACGACAGTGGCTCATAAAGCCAGCCGTCGATCTGCATTTCTTGTCATATATGTGGCATATGAAATCATCTTCGGGTGATGGAAGTTGACTTTGATAATCGTCACTTCCAATGGGCCTTTTCGTATGCCTTGTCAGGCCTGACCGGGACACTAGTGCAGGTCGGGCATTCAAAGCATGCCATTACGAAATCATATACAATAGACTGTTAGTGTTGGTGTGATTTCCGGTGACTGAGCAGACCCGCCCTGGACAGACATATCCGATTGCATTGGGCACATGGACAGATTGGCACCTTATGTCAATTCAGGGATCATATATACATATACATACATACATACATATTCTATATATTGATTTTTCCTTAGTTAATATTTTGTAACCCATCTGAAATCCTTCCGATTCTTCCCTTAGGTATAATTTATTTCTCCTTAGATTTGAAAAATTTCTTCTTTGAGATCTAAGAATCATTGTATTCCAGATCGGTATGTCTGGATATCCTGCAGGTGGTGAATTAATGCAGTTTGTAGGAATCTATGACGCCCATATCGAGCGGAAAGCTCTCGATAATCGAAAACGGTCCAACTGCATGATTAATATTCCTGAGGAAGCTCGAGGAACTCATCGCAGAGTTTCAGACACTGAGATTTGCCGATAAAATTATCGATCAAAACGTCTTCATTCAAACAATAATGATAAAAATATGAAAGAGAATAATGATAAAAACTCATTTTGGGATTTGGGGAAGACATACATAGGTTAAAACCAATATGAACGCGGATATTAGTTCGAATGTAACTTATGATATAAAAAAGATATTATGTCTATATTTTGGAGATGAAGTATTGTAACTATTTACACTATTTACATTATTCGGACTGTTGTCCTCATCTTTATTGCCATATTCACCATCAACATCTGTCTATATTCCTGAGATGAGGTATTGTAATTATTTACACTATTTACATTATTTGGACTGTTGTCCTCATCTTCATTGCCATATTCACCTTCAACATCTGTCTATATTTCTGAGATGAGGTATTGTAACTATTTACACTATTTACATTATTCGGACTGTTGTCCTCATCTTTATTGCTATATACACCATCAACATCTGTCTCTATTTCTGAGATGAGGTTATATAACTATTTACATCATCCGGACTGTTGTCCTCATCTTTATTAATGCATTCACAACGCTTCACCCGTTGTACGCTCCGGCCTTCTTCAGGTGATATTTGTTGGAATTTCGAACCGAATCATTTATTTAGTTCACGGGGGTAGATTATTCGAATTTCACATACAATACTTTTGGATATCTCTGTTTTAGTTCATTCGACATTATATATTTCCAAATTTCTGTTCTCTCCACTGAGGTCTGAGATTGAACTCACAACTCTTTGGATCAATCACCCAACGTTTTTATTCACCTTGGGGAAGGAATGTCACTGTAAAGTTGAGGACAAGTCTGAACTCTCTTAATTGTTGATGTAGACTAGTATGCAATTTTTAGTATTGGAATATTCGGGAAGAAGAAATGTCTTAAATTCTATTACGACGTATTTCGACATTTATAATAATAATTATAGCAACCATCTTCATTGCCATATTCACAACGTTTCGGCCATTGTACGCTCCGTCCTTCTTCAGGTGATTGGATCTCTGAGATGAGGTATTATGATTACTTGCATTATTTACATTATTCCGACTGTTATCCTCATCTTCATTGCCATATTCACAACATTTCGGCCATTGTACGCTTCGGCCTTCTTCAGACATCCGGAAGAGGCATGTCACGTGGAACTAGAACAATCTACCTCGGTGGACAAAATATAGGTTTAGGTTCGAAATTCCAATCACTAGAAGAAAGCCGGAGTGTACAACGGCCGAAACGTTGTGAATATGGAAAAGAATATCAGGATAACAGTCCGAATAATGTAAATAATGCAAGTAATCATAATGCCTCATCTCAGAGATATAGACAGATATATAGAATGATATAGACATAAAGACCTGAGCGTACAACGGCCGAAACGTTGTGAATATGGCAATGAAGATGAGGATAAGAGTCCGAATAATGTAAATAATGCAAGTAATCATAATAGCTCATCTCAGAGATATAGACAGATATATAGAATGACATAGACATAAAGACCTGAGCGTACAACGGCCGAAACATTGTGAATATGGCAATGAAGGTGAGAATAACAGTCCGAATAATGTAAATAATGCAAGTAATCATAATAAATCATCTCTGAGATAGAGAGAGATATTATAGCAACCAATTATTAAATTATGGTTCAATAGTGAAAGTACCTGACCAGACAGGTAACTCATTTTGTCGTGTGTGTAGAGAGAAATTACTTGGCACTAATTCAGGTTAAATTAAGTAAGAACGAACCGATTGTACCTGCTGTGCTAAATTGTGCAATTTGATTGCGTCTAAATCATGTTCAAGAATCATTTACGAAGTTTTTTCACTGCTCTTCGGAAACATTTTCGAATGTGCTCAAGATTTCTGGTCCTTTTTTTCTCTCTCTTCATATATTCTTTCATCTTCACATGTTTTTTTTTCTCTTTTTGTTTTTTGTATTTCATATTCTCTTTTTCTCTTTCGTTTCACAGTATACTGCTCTTACTTTTTCCTCCCACTTTGATCAGTATTTTTTATCCGTCCTGGATAAGACGATAAACTACATCCGCCTCTTGGGTATGACGTTAAACTACATCCGGCAGCAAGCCCTTTGATGAGAAGGTTTGGAGGAGCGTGGAACCAGCTCTTAATTGCTGGTGTTCCCAGGTCCATCCTGACCCGTGGTGGTAGCACCTGCTAGGGTCTCAACTATGGGCAAATAGTTAACCCCCAAACTGGGGTCAAAATACTGAAAATATAAACATAGTTTTTAATACAGCAATATATTTTTAAAGAAAAATATTACCAGCGATACATTTTTGAAGAAAAAGTATTACAGGAAATATACGTTTGAAGAAAATTATATTACCAGCAATATATTTTTGAAGGAAAAATATTACCAGCAATATATTTTTGAAGGAAAAATATTACCAGCAATAAAAATCTTGTCGGCATTAAAAAAACCAATGAGGTTGATATGCCGTAAAACAAACCAAACCAAAAATATTACCAGCATTAAAAATTTTGTCGACATTAAATAACCCATTGAGGTTGATATGCCGTAAAACAAACCAAACCTAAAATATTACCAGCAATAAAAATCTTGTCAGCATTAAATAACCCATTGAGATTGATATGCTGTGAAACAAACCAAACCAAAAATATTACCAGCAATAAAAATTTTGTCGGCATTAGATAACCCAGTGAGGTTGATATGACGTAAAACAAACCAAACCAAAAATATTACCAGCATTAAAAATCTTGCCGGCATTAAATAACCCATTGAGGTTGACATGCCGTAAAACAAACCAAACCAAAAATATTAACAGCATTAAAAATCTTGACGGCATTAAATAAATCATTGAGGTTGATATGCCGTAAAGCAAAACAAATCAAACCAATCAGTTTTTATTCGTTCTTCTTCTTCTTCTTCTTCTTCTTCTTCTTCTTCTTCTTCTTTATATATTGTCTTTCTTTATTAGCTTCCTTTTCCTTCTCCTCTTTTCTTCTCTCCTTCTTTCTTCTTTATCTTTCATATTTTTGTTCTTCCTTCGTTTTTCTCTTTCTTTTTTTTCACTCCTTTGTACTTTCCTCTCTTTATTGTTCTTCACTCTTACATCTTCCCCGTCTTCATTTTATTATGATATTTTACTCACGCATATTAGAAAACGATCACACACACACCCGGAAACAATGTATACGTGTGCTTCTTTAGATGATGAGTTTATGTAGATAATCATACCGGAAGGTTCAGTCCCTCCGACTCGCCCCACCTGGCTAGACATGTCTGCACCCTTACTGTTTGAAAACCGAAATCTCCACAGGACATAACAAACGTCAAATCACCCGCCATCAAATCCTTTACCACTGCACCCATGCCCGCAAGTAGCACATAGCGAATTATAATAATAATATTTCAGTTTTCGCTTTATAGCCGCCGGTCAGTGGTTGAAGCCCTTTTATACGTTTGCAACTGAATCAACCTTTAAAAACATTTATTCTTGTTTTTCCGTTTATTCGTCCGCCCTCTCACCTTTTCTGCTTTCGATAAATTACCAAATTCTCGTACGCACAACACCACGGCCGCTTTTCATCCGAATAAAAAAAAAAAAGAAAAAAAAAGTTTTCCACTTTCCGTCTTTTACTCATGAAAACACACGCATTGCCCGAAGAGGAAATCACCATATTCCAATGGTAAGCCTCGCGAGAACGACCGGAAGTTTCACTTTGCTCAGCCTTCTGTAAATTTTCAGTTTGTTGTTTTTTTTTCTTTTTTTTCCTTTTTTTGATTTTGTTGTCTGACGCATTTTCTTTTTCGTTTCATCATCATCATCATCATCATCATCATCATCATCATCATCATCATCATCATCAGCAGCAGCAGCAGCAGCAGCAGCAGCAGCATCAGAATCCTCATCGTCGTCATTTTCCTTTTCTTATCCCACATTGCTTTCTTCTTCCGCATCCGTTTGCTTTGTTTCTTCTTCTTCTTCTTCTTCTTCATCTGATCTTTTTCTTTCTTTTTCTTCTTCTGCTTTTTCTTTCTTCTTCTTTTTATTTACTTTCTTCTTTTTCTTCTTCTTCTGCTCATCTTCTGCTTCTTTTTTATTTACTTCTTTTTCTTCCGCTTTTTTCTTTTTCTTCTTCTTATTTACTTTCATTTCCTTGTCTTCTCTTTCTTCTGCTTTTTTCTTTGTCTTTTTATTTACTTTCTTTCTTTTTCTTCTTCTGCTTCTCTTCTCTTTCTTCTTCTTTTTCATCTTTTATTTACTTTCTTCTTCTTTTACTCCTTCTTCTTCTGCTTTTCTTTTCATGTTGCTCCCCCTCTTCTTCTTCTCCTTCTTCTACTCCAGTTCTTCTACTTTTTCTCGCTCTTCTTCTTTTTATTTACTTTCATCTTCTTCTGTTTTTTTTTATTCTTTTTTTCTCTTCTTCTTCTTCTTCTTCTTGTTTTGCTTAAGAGTCATTATTGCCACCGCTATACATCTATCTCTAGGCATCACTTAATTAACCCTTACACATAATCACGGAAACTTGCTTTGGCTTCTCAGACTATCTTTTGTACCTACAGAGAAATTTTATCTTCAAACCCAGCCACATCCTTTCCATTCCTCATCATTGCAATAAAAAAGAAGACTTAAGAATCACAAACATCTTTCTATCTTTTGCACCTGGAAAGGGGGGGGGGAGAGGGCATCAAATAAAAAAAAAACAACAACCCAAACCAAAACAGAAATCTGCAAAATATTAGAAACTAATTAAGATTTGTGTTGAGGAATACGTAAGTAAACAAAATTATAATATATCTATATATATATATATATAGAGAGAGAGAGAGAGAGAGAAAATTTTTTAACTGCTCTTTTATATATATATATATATATATATATATATATATATATAAATGTCAAAAATAAAAAGAATAAAAAAAATATGTTTCTATCCCATCAGAAATAACTGTTTTAAAACCAACATTTAAATCTTAAATTAAACTTAAATTTGAAGTTCATTTTCCTTTTCAATCGATGCTGAGAATAATAATAATGATAATAAGGTTTGTTCTCAGCATCGCTTTAAAATGGAACTGAACTTCAAATTTTAAATTTAATTTAAGTTTTGGTTTTGAAACAGTAATTTCTGTGTCGCGGTGGAAATATATTTAAAAAAAATAATTATATATATATATATATATATATATATATATAATGAAATTTACTTAGTGTGGTACAAGGTGGAATAGAACTGAGAGCTTGGGGTAAAATATTGCTATAAGATGAGAATTTTAAGTTTTTGCCCGAATTCGGACACCGACCGATGAAAAAGTGATCAATGTGGCTTCGTCCAAGGTTGAACGGAGGAAAAAGCGTCGAAAGTTAAACCTTTTCTATTTACTGCGACTCTCCTTTGGTGCTGTAGGATGTTTGAAATGCAATTCTTTAACAATAACAGTTTTTCTTTAATATTTAGCAAATGACAACTTAAATTTTCATGATTAGACGAGTATATTTCTGAAAACCTCTGTCAAGGAATTACAAGGGGTTTCGTGTTTTGTCATAAGATTTGTGTGAATTATATGCAATTTTATTCGCACATTTGAATTTTAAATCTTATGACCTTTTTTTTAATACTGAGTCTTAATTCGAATTTTGAAACTAAAACTTATTTTTATTTATCCTATAAAACCCAGAGGAGCATTCAAATCAATATAACAGGATAATTTAGAACGATATGAGGCGCTTGAAAATATTGCGTTATAAATGCTGTGTTTATGTCCTGCAGTTCAAGCGAAGGTTAAAATATGGAATTAAAATCTGAATAAATAAATATGCTTTCTAGAAACTAAGTGAAATATTAAGAGGTTTAAAAAATAAGATAAAAGATTAAAAGAAAACGGCATTATGTCAAATCTGTGTTATGTGAGTGAATGTGGAACAATTTCTTCAGAAATGAAGACAAGACATATATGTAGTTGTAATGATTCTTCGATTTCTTCGAGGTTCCATGTCACTTCATGATGTGGTTGATCATGGCGCTCCACAATTGTAGTGTCCCAAACTGGGGTCAAAACACCATGAAAATGTAAAAATAGGTTTTAATATCAGAAAAACTTTGTAAAAAAATTATTACCAGCAATAAATTTTTTGGAAAAAATAAAAGAATATTACCAGCAATTGTCGTCATTAAATAACCCATTTAGGTTGATATACCGTAAAACAAACCAAACCAGAGCAAAAAAACCATGCAAGTACCAAAACAGGTCGAGTTAAAAAACCAGCTTAAATTTTTTAAATTGTTAGCTCAGGTTATTTTTAATAGTGGCAAGTAGCGTATTTCATAATTTATTGGCGCCACCCTTTCAAAAGTAACCCACTCTGTAAATACATGTGACTACTGACAGTTTTTTTTCTAATTTTCACCTAGCACAGCGTGCAGGAGTTCCTCAGTATAAAGGATTATTAAATGAGGGATGTTCTAATGGCGTACATAGAGAGAGTAAGGGCACCTTGACGTGGTGTAATGGTTAGAAAGCTAGATCAATTACGGCTGAGCAGTGAGTTCGATTCTCACTGGGTGCTCCATACTTTCGGCCTTGTGCCACATCTAAGCTACGCTTGGAAAATCACTACATAAAGAGAGTAATTGGATATATAACATTTCGAATAGTTGGACCGTAGATCTGTTATGTTAGTGTAGGATATGGGAAAGTGTAGTATCTGCGCTTTGTGAGCTGCCGAGCCGGGTGTCTGTCGAACTCTCTGCTTGCAGAGGGGAACCCGGACGAAGCTCCGCCGAAGGGTGGGGTTTCGTTCGGGGAGGTTGACGGAACTAGCCCGCTTGGACGGGTTTAGATGGGTTTTATTTTTGGCTGGGCCTACGGGCTCAGACATACCCACATTAAAAAGGCCTTGTGCCACATTCAATTCCTGTGGGTGAATTGATAAATAAGGTAGGATATGGGGAACCTGAGGTCTACATATTGCATGGTTGATCTGGGTTTGATTCCGCTGTCTGTGATAGTTTTGGTCATATTTTGGTATGGGAGATGAGGAACTTAGTTTTTGAAACATTAACACCTTAAGTGGTACATGTAAAAAAAAACTACCTGGATTAAACCTTTGAGACTTGACCACCATTTTTTATATCTACTATGAAACAATACATACTAATTATTTGCGAATTTTGGCTCAGGAGCTCAGGCAGAAGGTTTAAAATTGTTCAGGAAAGCAGGGTTCAAATTTTATTAATTGTGAGAAAGAAAAGCTATAACAAAGCCTTTCATCATGGCATCAAGGAGATCCACTGGAGACTACTGCATTGTTTAAATCTCATTCATGAAATGGAAATACACTAGTCCCGATTAATTATAAATAGATCGTTACAGTTAATCAGACAGTTGAAATATTTTGGAGAGAAACAAGTACCAACATTTAAAGGAGGCTTTTAGCAGAGGAGGAGAATGTGACATCGAAATCTGAAGTACGCATTGGAAGAGCGAAAGATTCCTTCCAAAAGTTAAACAAAAAAGTAGGATCATTTCGTTTGAAACAAAGAAAAGAATACCGGGCTGTTACGTAACCTCGGTCCTCCTATATATATATATATATATATATATAAATATATATATATAATTATTTATTCGAAAATTATAACATAAATATATTATAAAATCACTACAAAAACGCCATTTTGTTTCAACACTTCTGGTGTCTTATCAAGTGATGTGGTTTTTATTTATTCTACATTCAACACCATCACTTGATAAGACACCAGCAGTGTTGAAACAAAATGGCTATTTTTGTAGTGATTTTATAACGTGTTTATGTTATTATTTTCGAATAAATAATTATATTTGCTCTACTCTGTATTGAGCTCTTTTTTAAGAATAGTATTTTTTGGTTATTGGATTTTATTCCGTATACACCAATCCTATATATATATATATCTTTGAATCATTTTACCCCAAGCAAGCTAATATAGCCACTAAAACGTAATGAATTACAGGGTGTGAAAGAATATAAGAAAAAGAATATATTTTAATGAATGCTGGACAATCTCCTCACAGATGAAGAAGAGAACTGAGTCAACATAAAATGTGATTCTAAAGAAGGATGCTGAGAATGCAATAAACTGGCGATGTGAGTAATGAGGAAGATTTAGAGGAAACAAAAAGAATACTCGTACTTAGAAGATATAAGTGAAATTTCTAAGGCACATAATGAGGAAAGAGGACTTGGAAAATTCAACACGCACGGAACATGTTAATGGCAAGAGATAAGCCGAGAATAATCGACCACCTAACGAGGCTGCGCTAATGGGTGGCAAAACAGGGATTAGGTGAGATAGCAAAAAGACAAACATTGCTATAAGCTCGTACAATGGTCAGGAAGATGTGGAGAGCCATAATCGATTCTGTATTAAAGGGACACGGTACATAGAAGAAGAATAAAAAAGAAGGCTTGGAGAATTTAACTCACAGGGCTCATCAAAAGGCACGGGAAACGGAGGAAAACAGTACGCAATCCACTTGATCAATTGAGAAAATGGATGTAAGAACTAGTAATACAAAGAAAATGGAGTATAGTGATTTTCCAAGCGTAGTTTAGGTGTGGCACAAGGCCGAAAGTATGGAGCACCCAGTAAGGATCGAACTCATTACTCAGTCGTAATAGTTCTAGCGAGACAATCTTGCTCACCATTACACCGCCTCGAGGTGCCCAAAACAATGGTAGTATAGTAAAAGAACTGGTATTGTTAGAGCAACAAAAAAGGAAGCTGTGGAGAGATGTATCGATATTATATATAAAGATAGATTTAAAATCTTGGCTTTGGACACCACCCCCAGCGTTTATATATATATATATATATATATATATATATATATATATATATATAAACTAACGATTACAACCACAACATCCACACTTGCATTATTCTATCATTATTAAATCAACTGTTTATTGATAAGTGAAAGAAGGAGGAGGAGTAGGAGAAGAAGAAGAGGAGGAAGAAGAAATAAAAAATTATGATTAGAGATAGTCTGTCCCGTGGGAAATCCCTTCTATTCTTGGCAATGGTGGCGGAGGGAAATACCGCCCTTACGCCTAACTGAACATGGCTAAACGATCAGGTTTTCCGCTGACAGCCATGACTACGCGGGGAGGAGCTGCTTATTTGGCTTCCCACGCCTGTTGCCAATGACGACAGCGACGATGACGAGACACCCCGAACCATGTTCGTGGCCACAAGCCGACTTCTCTTCGGCTCCCGGCATTTCACAACTATCACCGCTAAATTCTATTGCTCAAAGGCAGAAGATGGCGTCGACGACAATGGCGATGACTTTGTAAGGATTGAAAATGGTTGGAAGAGATATTTTTTTTTCCATGGAGAGGAAATGTGATATCGACGGGGTTAGGGGCGATGGTAGAGTTATCGTGACAAGGTTGGTGTTTATTGTGTAGATATTGACATTTCTAACATTTAAACTCAGCTTGTCTATGGCGGACACTTGTTGCTTAAAGAAAAACGTGTTGCACATACATTTTCCAAAATGCACACGCACACATATTCATCTTTGTTATGGTTGACAGATATAGTAATAGATTTTTGCTGCTACTGAGCAAGATAGAAAATTATTGGAGAATATTTCTCAGAATTTCTTACCAATGCTATTCTTCGCCAGCCATCGTAGCATTTCGGTGACAACATTTTATGTCGTTTTTCAGAAAATAATGTCCGATTTTAGAATAAATCTTTTAATTGTCTTCTAATATATTAATATCAATTATTTTAATAATGTTCTGTTAAAATACGTGATAGACAAATTCCCCAAACTTAATAAGGTTTTATCTTTAAATTCTTTGTTATTATCAAGAAAAAAAAACAAAGGATTTTTTTTTTGCTTATTAAATTGGATTTTTAATCGTTCAAAACTTCGGTAAAAAATATTTGTTCTTGCGTCTTGTTTTTCTTGCCATTAGTTAGTTTGGGAAATTTTAGCGGCGAAAAACACATTGATTTAGAAATTCTTGCAAGAATCAAGTAATTGTCGGATTTTCAGGAATTATTACCAAATGAATTAAATTATTTTTGTTTAGAAAATCTTGGTAAAAATATTATTATTAGATCTGTTATCCAACACTTAAGTTTATGAAATATCAAGAAATTCATTTTTGTGAGGTTTAATAATTCGATATAATAATGAGAATATAATTGTGTATATATGAAATGAAGAATTCTGTATATATGGAATGAAGAGTTCTATATATATGGAATCAATTCTGTATATATGGAATAAAAAAATTCAGTATATATGGAATGAAGAATTATGTATAAATGGAATAAACAGTTCTATATATGTGGAATGAAGAATTCTGTATATATGAAATGAAAAATTCAGGATATGTGGAATGAAGAATTCTGTATGTATATAAAATGAAGAATTCTGTATATATGGAATGAAGAATTCTGTATATAAGGTATTAGCAATTCTTTCTCTTGTTTCCATTGACTAGCGGATTGCACATCATTCGAACTGAAAAATGAATCAGCGGAATTGTCGTTTTAGCGAAAGTGTATGAAACAGATTTGTGCGCCAGAATAATATTTGATAAAAAATTAATGACTCTTAAAGTTATAAACAATACGTAACTTATGCAATGTTACCATTTTAATTAATATTTGCTAATATTTAATACATTTGTCTGGATTTCAGCGGCTGCAAACATAGACGCACATTTTTAGTTTTATATATTAAATGAAAAAGAAATATTATGTTTTCGTCTTTCGCCGAAAAATACCGCTGGAAATTTTCCTCTTGTCCTCCATAGTTCGCAAGAAAAAAGTAGACATGGTAAAACGCGACACCAAAAATAGAAAAAAAATGGTTGAAAAACGATCTTAACTCGAGAGTAATAAAACATAAGAAATGAAACATAAGTCAAATAATACGTCTTTAACATAAATACATTTTAGATTTTAAAAGCGCCTTCGGGAGAAAAAGTGGTTCACCCTATAAAAATATCGATCAAACAGTTTCGGCTGTTTTCTGTAGGAAAACGCGACACAAAGATGTTGAAGAAAATGGTGACGAAAACGTTGCGTTGATTACAAAATGTCGGCCTGAAAATTTAGAAAATTTCATGTCATGTTTCATAATGTTCAAAAAACATAATGAAATTCAAAGGCCTTTTTAATGTGGGTATAGGCCCAGCCAAAAATGAGGATCGGTAGCGCAACTTGAACCGGGCCGTGCGGGTATTCTTTTTTACAAATAGATATGAGGATCGGTACAAGAAGTTTCTAAAATATTAGATTCCATAGTTTTCTTTTAAGCTATAAGCCATAAAGTATCTCAAGGTCACATGGCACAGTGGACAAAGGCGTTAGTTAGGTCCAGTGACAGGGGAATTAACAGGAGATAACTGACATCCATTAAACATAGCACGTGGAACTAGAACAGTCTACCCCAGTGAGCGAAATAAAGGGTTCAGTTCGACATTCCAACAACCATGAAGAAGGTCGAAGCGTACAACGGCCGAAACGTTGTAATAACTATGGCGACAAAGATGAGGACAATAGTCCGAATAATGTAAAAAAATTATTGCTGGTAATAATTTTTTTCTTCAAAAATACATTGCTGGTAATATTTTTTTCATTCAAAAAAGTATTTCTGGTAATAATTTTTTCTTCAAAAGATTTATTGCTGGTATTAAACCTATTTTTACACTTTCATAGTGTATTGACCCCAGTTTAACTATTTATCCATAGGTGGGACCCTAACAGGTGTTAGCACACTGGTCATGCTGGACTTGGGAACACCAGTAATTAAGAGGAGATTCCATGCTCATCAAAACCTCCTGATCAGAGTTTATCGTCTTGTCAGGACGTAGTTTATCGTCTTACCCAGGACGCGGATGTAGTCTATCGTTTTGCCCAGGATACGGATGTAGTTTATCGTCATACTCAGGACGTGAATCTAGTTTATAGTCTTACCCAGGACGTGGACGTGGACGTAGATTATCGTCTTACGCAGGACGCGGACCTAGTTTATAGTCTTACCCAGGACGCGAATGTAGTTTATCGTCTTACCCAGGACGCGGACCTAGTTTATAGTCTTAACCCAGGACGTGGATGTAGTTTATCGTCTTACCCAGGACGCGTGTTCATTTTTGTAAGTTTTATCTATTTCAACTATTAAATGTGTTGTAATTAATGAAGATCTAGCTCTAGATTTTGATTGACTATGTAAACTGAGGCAGATATTCGCGTACACGCGCGCATATAATTGGAAGATAGCTAGAGTGAATATTCTGAGATCTAGAGTTCCTTCTGCTTGCTTTACAAAAGTAGGGAGTTCAAAATTTTTAAAGGGAGTCGGCCCAAAGCGTTGACCCAAATACCGTTCATTTACGAGGTCCGATAAAAAAGATGCGGGACTGGTACTATAAAAAGAAAACTACGTCACATATCAATTCGGCATTTCATCTCCTTCGAAGTAGTCGACTTCTGAAGCCACACATTTTATCCAGCGTCATTTCCATTGAGCCAAGTATTTCTGGAACTCATTTTTGAGGATAGCGAGAAGCTGCCTCGTCGCCTTCTCTTGAATTTTCTCTAGATCTTGAAATTTTGTTCATTTTAAGTAAGATTTGATTTTTGGAAAGAGGAGAAGGTTGGAAATTTATTGAAATTCTTCCTGTTTTGCTGTAAAGTACCATAATGCAATAAAGTACCAATGAAGTAATATAATGTAAACATATTAGAGTTGGCGTCCATTACTTGAAGCTTATTGTTTCTCAAGTTGTAGGGTGTATGTCAAATATCACAAGAGCCAACAATTTTTCAGCTTCCATCCAGTAGCACTTTAAGCAAGAGAAGAAGTGAGGAGGAAAAATAAGCTGAAAAGGTCACTGGGTGGATTGGAAGAGAGACTCAGACATTGGCACGCAACCGAGTTATATGGAGGGAGCTCCTCAGCTTCGCAGTGACTGAATGATCAAAGCCAGTCATTGGGAGTGATGATGATGTTAATCATAATGATGATGACGAACAGGTTTCTAAAAGTATATTTTATATGCCGTAAAAATACATTTCATTTGCGTGATAAAAACGGATATTCTAATAGAAGAAAATTTACAATATAAAAGGAGGTTAGCAAAAATATATTAAAATCATAATATATATATATATATATATATATATATATATATATATATATATATATATATATATTTGCTTTTAAATTCCTTGTGGAACATTGGGTCGCAAGATAAATTTGCGGTTTCTATAACAGGCCAGTTTTTTCAAGTGAGTAGATTGTTAGCCTACTGCACAACCCCCAACCTAGATGATCAGGTTTTGAATTCAGAGTTGTCCTTCTCCTAGACCAGTTTCCATCCAAGGCTATAGAACCCGGTCTGTCCTATTATTTACCCATAGCTAGTAGGGGGTGGGTGGAGAAGAGGATATTAGCATGTAAGTGAATGTAATGGATTCGACTCTCCGATTCCTCAAACCGAGCCGGTATCCATTGCTCCACCGTGTCTCCTCTCATATTATCGTAAAATGATAATATCGAAATGTAACAACGAATAACAAAAAACACAGCTAAACCGTTTTATCGATCCTCATCAGAGCAATGATTGGGACAAAAATGTACACTGTGACACAGAAAAAAAAATATAAGACCAGCCCCACGACAGATGATATATGCAAGAAAATATAACGCTTAAAAGGTAATTACCTTTAAGCCCACTAAACACTCCTGTTTATAGAGAGATGGCTGGTAGGACTTAATGTACACTGATTTCAAAACTTTCAAGTGATACTAGGAATTAGCTTTGCTCATCACTGAGGCTATAAGACCAGAGACAATGCTAGCTTTTTATCAAATGCTCTGCTATCGATGATCCTGTTGTATTTATGCACCTATATAAATTGTCCACCTTGCCTTTGCGGATATTGGCTGGTACATGTTGGTTGATATGTACTTCCAAACTTTGAACTGTTCTGCCGACATAGTCTGCACCATACTGACATCTAAATTGGTGAATTACCGTACTAATATGATGGCTGGACAGAATATCCTTCTGGGTCGGTGTCAAAATAGAGAATCAAAAACAATAAAAGGATTGGCGGAAAAAATAACTTTTATTTTACACCAACTGAGATCTGCTTAGCAAATATTGTACTCACCGCTCTAATACAGGACACACACAAATAGATGTGACATTTCGAAGGACCAATCGGCCGAGGCTTACGAAATTATCGCATTCTCCCCGAATCTATCTATCTATCTATCTATCATGGGTCCTTACCTATAACTACAGAATGAACTCTTCCTAACACTATGTATACTACGCCTCTCAAGAGAGAGGGTCGAATCGAGTCGAGCCGATAGTAGTTCACTCCAAACCAGACTGACAGTCATACTAACACCTTCCAAATCTTGTATTGTTATTTCATGTAATATACCTTCGTTATTTCTACTCTTGTGTTCGTGTTGTTCTTCCTTGGTCCTAACCTGGACCATAACACTATCCCAGTCTCTTCATCTATCTATCTATCTATCTATCTATCTATCTATCTATCTATCTATCTATCTATCTATCTATCTATCTATCTATCTATCTATGCCAGTCTCTTTATCTATCTATTCATCTATGGAAGTAATAAAAATATATTACCGTACAATAAGAATACGGAAATATAACAACAAATAACAAAAAAGACAGCTAAACCGTTTTAACGGTCCTCTCTCTCATTAGAACAAAGACTGAAGACAAAATGTATATAACGACTAAAGCATTAAAAAATTAATTAAAACTGCAAGAACATCGTAATGCCATAACATGTGAGGAAATAGAAAAATAAAGCATGCCTGACCACATATGGAGGGAAAAGTGAGATCCACACCCCGTGTGGGATGAGGTTGAAATAACAAATAGAGAACATCACTGAAAAATAGAAAAACTTAAGGAATCAGCACATATGCTAGGTCACAAAAATCTCCTGAGCCGGCCAGGCATAGAAATGAATACAATATGGGAACCAGTAATAAGGAGTGCCAGAGAAAAGCAGTAATAACAACAAAAATTGCAATATGACCTCTGGTAAAAACAATTACTGTAACATTAAGTTTATAATTCATAGACTGACGTCTACAAGGACACATGGCCCAGTTAGTTGGATTCAGTGACTTGACCCAATGAATTGAGGCTACTGCAGCAGTGAACAAAAACTTGGAGTGTTGAGTGAAAGGGAGATGACCGAGACTCTCGGAAGAGGCATGCCAGCTAGAACAATTCACCCCGGTAGACGAAATAAAGGGTTCAGTTCGAAATTCAAATCATCTGAAGAAGGCCGGAGCGTAGAACGACTGAAACGTCGCGAATATGGCAATAAAGATGAGGACAGCCTTCCGGACAATGTAAATAATGCAAATAGTAATACCTCATCTCAGAAATATAAACGGATATTAAGATCTTAGGGTAATGCTATATGAGAAAAATGTAACATTTATAAGCTTTTACCTTTAAGCCAACTAGCCAATCTATCTGCTTACAGAGAGATGGTTGGTTGGACTTAATATACACTGATTCTAACACTTTCAAGTAAAACTTGAAATCATGTTTTTCTTTGGTATTTTGTCTTGCTTTTTAAACCCAATGATCTTCAGGTTGTAAACAGTCACTTCCCCGTTGAACTTCAAGACTGAAGGTCATAACATTACCTACTGATCACAATCTAACCGACTTACCTCAAATATTTTTCTACAAAGTTTATAATAACTGACTTTCTATCAAATCTTGCATCATGCTAAAAGTAAAAAGAAAAATTCAATTGTTCCTGTAGCAACTACTATTGCCATCATGATAACGTTTTCTCTATAATAAAATACTCAGCCGTCCTGGGAAAGACGATAAACTACATCCACGTCCTGGGAAAGACGATAAACTACATCCACGTCCTGGGTAAGACGATAAACTACGTCCAACAGCAAGACCTCTTATCACGAGATTTTGAGGAGCGTGGAACCACCTCTTAATTGCTGGTGTTCCCAGGTCCACCCTGACCCCGGGTGGTTGCATCTCTTAGGGTCCCAGCTATGGGTGAAAAGTTAACCCCCCAAAATGGGATCAAAACATTTGAAAGTGTAAAAATAGGTTTTATTACCAGCAACACGTTTTTTGTAAAATAAAATTTACCAGCAATAAATTTTTGAAGAAAAAATTACTACCAGCAATAGATTTTTGAAAAAAATATTAAAAGCCATACATTTTCGGAAAAAATATTACCAGCAATAAAAATCTTGTCAGCATTAAATAACCCATTGATGTTGGTATGCCGTAAAACAAAATAAACAAGCAAAATATCCAACTGTTTCATTATACAGGGTGCGTCTGGTATATGAGAACATATTTTATGGATTAATAAAAAACTTGTTGAACAAATGAATATAATTATATTTGATTACAAACAATTAAAAATTAAATTTAGCTATCATTTAACTTTATTCAATAAAACCACCACTAGCATCAATAACTTCCTCTACACGAGGTCAAAATCGGCTGCAAGCTCTGATTAATTGGTCCTTATTTATGTCAGACATTACTCGAACTATTTCAGCTTTGAGAGAGTCTTTGTTATTATGAGGGTGTTTATTAACCTCCTTCTCAACAACGCTCCACACATAATAGTCTAGTGGATTGAAATCTGTAGAGTTAGGAGACCAAATGTTGGGTGTGATGTGGTCGTACAAATGGTCAGCCATCCATCCTTGTGTTTGTAGAGCCTTGTGGGATGGAGCAGAGACTTGTTAGAATATGTAAGGCCTGCCGTCGCATATGTTGTCAATCTAGGGCTTGACAACAGTTTCAAGAACCTCAATATAAGCAGCAGCATTGACTCTAAGACCTTGTGGAAAAAAAGTGTGGTGGCATAACATGTCCTTCATTGCTAACAACACCCAATACCATAACACTGGAAGGAAATTGTGTGCGCATCACGATTGGCACCTCAGAAGGGTCTGAACAAAGCCATCTGTCATTTGTTCTGTTAAGTTTTTGATCTTGAGCAAAATTTTTCTCATCTGAGAAAAACCAAATCACACCAGCTTCTGAAGGATTTTTAAGTTTGTTTAAAAGACTTTTGGATCTGTTTAAACGGTTTTCTTTTTTTTTTTTTCAGACATAAATTAACCTCTCTTCATTACGTAGGACTTGTATCGAATGTCTTCATGGACACTCCTTCTAACTGTTTTTCAGACACATACAGATTTTTGGCAATTGACCTCATTGGTTGACCTCATTTTCATCAATTGTCTTCTTGACTTCCTGAATAAATTCGGATGTTCTCACTTTATCAAAACGTGCAGAATGTCTTTTACATTTTGATACAGCCATTAGGGAATTGTCAGCGTCTTCTAACTCTTTTCGTATCTTGTAGACAAACGATCTTGCAACTCTAAGGAAACATGCACTATCCAAACCGCTATGATCAGCCTTTAATGTCACAATCACAGCATGCCTTTTCATTTCATTTGTTATCATAAGGTTTGCTATTCTTGATTTCTGAAAAATAAAAGCATTAGAAGTTCGTGGGAAGCAGTATTAATCTTAAATCTGTATGTCCTCAAATACCAGCCGCACCCTGTAATTACAACCGTACAATGAACTCAACTGCTAGTTGTAAAACAGATACTGTCTGACAGATTAACAATATACGAATATTTCGGAGGAAGTCCATATCTGAAATTAGTCCCCAGTCAATTCTGAATGTAAGCTTTGTTCGTTGATAAATTAAAAATCGGTCAGAGAACAAAGAAATTCGGCTATTAGTAGAAGCTATAGCTTGCTTCTTTGAAATAGAGAATTTTTTGAACGTCTTTTGAACTGTTCTCTGAGGGTTTATCGAAAAAGGTCAAATATTTTCTCTTTCTCGAAGATTTGAAATTCTTGTTCAGTGAGTTTGAAGGAATTGCGAGATTTAACTGAGAATAGCCGCGGCGGCTTGTAAGAGTTGAAAGTGGATCTGTTATAAAAGGAAGACGCATTCGTCAGTGAACTGAAGAAAGGAACCGGATATTTGATTGGTTAAATGAAAACAGATATTTGATTGGTTAAAATCGAGGGGAAAAAAGAGAAAATGAGTGTGTGGGAGAAAATAGTAAGATGATAAAATAGAAAGTTAACTTGATAGATTCAATCAATTAATAGCAGAAGTATCTATCTATCTATCTATCTATCTATCTATCTATCTATCTATCTATCTATCTGAGCCTGTTTTTATCTATTTATCTGAGCCTGTTTTTATCTATCTATCTATCTATCTATCTATCTATCTATCTATCTATCTATCTATCTATCCTAGTCTCTTCATTATCTATCTATCTATCTATCTATCTATCTATCTATCTATCTATCTATCTAATACAGACACGCTTACTCATAGACATTCTTAAGCATATACACTTAGACGAATGAATGTATACTGATTTTGTCTCCAGAGATAGAATGTCGGCCTAGTTGACCGATATGTTTGATGTCCAGTTGCGAGAAGTTCGCTTGTTAAATCGCATTGCGACAAGTTCTCATGCGTTAAAAAAATAATTGAATTCTTTTGTAAAAAAAAGTTTACATTGCCCAGGAGGTGGATTAAACATTGACCGACTCCAGCTTAATTCTTGCCCGTCCCGATGGTATTCCAATGACAAAACCATCAGAGCTATGTAGCAAATAATTGAACATGACAAAGAGAATGTACGTGGCACATAACCTGTAGACATTTTTACAACATACATGCATACTTCAGTATCTGTGTATATTTCTGAGATGAGGTACATTATTTACATTATTCGGACTATTGTCCTCATCTTTGTCGCCATATTTATTACAACGTTTCAGTCGTTGTATGCTCCGGCCTTCTTCAGGTGGTTGGAATGTCCGCCATTTTTCATCTCGACAGGATCAGACTTTGATTTTCCCCATTCCGTCATTTATTTTTACCCTCCCCATTTCATTAGTGAGCGTGTTTCTTGATTCTCTCTATCGACAGAATACAGCGGCCAATTTTAGTATTTTGAGGGGTGGACGGTTCCTACTAATATTGTTTTCCTAGTTAATATGTGAATAAGTGTTGTTCCTGGCCAAGTTTTTTCTTTAGTTTACATACACTCTCCATATTTTCATGTATCATGAAATTTATATATATATATTATATATATATATATATATATATATATATATATATATATATATATATATATATATATATAATAATCCTAAGGAGCCAGGCAAATATACCTAGGTTTCACCTAAACGAATCTTCAGGGTAAAGCTTTGCCTGTCTCCTTAGGATTATTTTAGGTTTTGCTCTACTTACTGTATTGAGCACTTTACGTCGTTGTTTTTTTACTCGTTTTGTTTTTTTTTCTTTGGACTTGAAACTTAAACACTTGACCATTGTTTTCGCATTGGATGAATGTTCTTGGTTCTTTTTTTTTTTCATTCCCCATTTTTCCTCGGGTACCGATTTGTTCTACTGCAAGTTGAGCTATCCGAGTTTTTTCCACCATATATATATATATATATATATATATATATATATATATATATATGTGTGTGTGTGTGTGTGTGTGCTTGTGTGTGTATACGAACATTAGAAACTTTTACATCATGGGGTGTCTTGTAGGTCCCTTGTGAATATGTGGTATTGTGTGTGTGTGCAGGATTGAGAGGTGATGGATGAGTTCTTGTGGTGAATGTGTGATTGTAATGAATGAATGGGTCGTAATTGTGATTAACTAGGACTGGGACGGCTAGTCAAAGACCAAACTTTCCCCATTTCCCTCTCGGCCATGTGCCACAATTTTGAAGAACAGTTTTTCGATACCGAGTTTCCTCTACACTCTCCGAAGTGCCCCTTACTATCTCGAACAGGATTTCTTAAATGAGATAGATATCATAATTAAGAGAGGCGCGGAGCTAATTTGCAACGTTAATTTCGACGACACAGGCTAGAGGCAGGCAAAGCTCCTTTTGAGTTTCGGAGGCCTGGGCCTTTGATCAGCGGTAGATTTGGCCCTTCCAGCATATCTTTCTTCACTTTCGTCCAGTCACGAATTAATTGATGAGATACTCGGTGGCTCGTCTCAGTGTTTCTCGGATAGTTCTTTCGAACAAGCCATCAGCGTCTGGGCGCCAAAATTACTTTCTATGCCACTAGACACATAAAAAAAAAAAGCTGGGATAAAACAAAATGCGAGACTAATTTTACTAATTTGAGGCTCTCTCTGGATCAGCATCCCCTCGCCTGTCTGATATCTGCTTCACAACTGAGTAGTGGCGCCTGGCTCAACGCAGTGCCCTCTTCATCTACCGGTACCCATCTAAATGATGAGTGCACTCGGGTCGGAGTCGCGATCCGTCTTGGACTCAAATTATGTGAGCGTCACAGGTGCAGATGTGGAGCCTCCATCGATGCGTTTGGTTTGCATCCTCTCTCCTGTCGTCGTATTGCCGGCCGATTTCCACGGTATGCAGCAATAAATGCCATCATAAGAGGTTTGAATGCAGCTGGGTTCCCTTCCAAAATCGAACCCGGAGGCCTCGACCGCGGTGATAGAAAGTAGCCGGATGGCATTACCATTTTCCCTTTTAAAATGGGGAAGTCGTTGATTTGGGATATGACCTGTACGGATACATTTTCGACCGGTATTTTGATCAGGTCCGCGATTGAGCAGGGGTCCGTCGCCCGGGACGCAGAGATAAAAATAAAATAGTTTAATATTCTTCCTTTGCTGATAGATTTTTTAAACTCCTGTGGCAGTGGAGACTTTTGGGGTTATTGGCCCTCGTTCGATGGCGTTCCTTCGGGGGATTGGCGCGATTGCGTCTCGATTAAGGGACGAGCCTCACGAAACGGAGTGGCTCTTGCAGCGTATCTCACTGGCGATGGTTCGAGGTAATGCTTTCTCCATCATTGTGGATGGCAGAGGATAGAAAAAAATTGTTTATATTTACTTTGTTCAATCTTTTTTTTCAATAAATAAATTTGTTCATTATCAAAAATTTAGTATTTATACAAAATAAATATCTTTTTCCTTCTTTTGTTACGACCTTGCTTTCTCTTTCGAAGCTGACTAAACGTGTTGCCGAAATAGTTAATAAGAGTCGTAACTCTTTATTTTCTATCGTTACTTCTACAAGTAGAATTACTTGTAGGCAACATATAAAGTTTTTTGTTGCAATTTGACACAAACAATTGCACCACGAGATTACACCAGTAACAATTAAGAATTCATTATCATTTCTTTCTTTCTTTCTTCGCTGAGTTTCGCTTCAAACTCTGCCATTATAGTTTTTCTACCTTCCCTTTCCCCAAACGGTCGGACTTAAAATCCCGACATTATTTAGTGATACAAGTCTTACTAATTTAACCCATAGCTGGGGGAGAAGTGGTGGATTCGTAACATTCCCAAGAGTATTTGTAATTATCTGGAAGTGGAACTCTGTACTCTAAGAAATCCAAAGCCAAGCCGTCCTGGGTAAGACGTTAAACTACATCCGCGTCCTGGGTAAGACGACAAACTACGGCCAGCAGCAATTATACGTCCAATTATATGCGCGCGTGTACGCGAATATCTGCCTCAGTTTACATAGTCAATCAAAATCTAGAGCTAGATCTTCATTAATTACAACACATTTAATAGTTGAAATAGATAAAACTTACCAAAATGAACACACGTCCAGGGTAAGACGATAAACTACGTCCAGCAGCAAGACCTCTGATCAGGAGGTTTTGAGGAGCATGGAACCACCTCTTAATTGCTGGTGTTCCCAGGTCCACACTGACCCGGGGTGGTAGCATCTATTAGGGTCCCAACTATGGGCAAATAGTTAACTATCACCAGCAATACTTTTTGAAAAAAATATTACCAGCAATACAATTTTGAAGGAAAAGTATTACCAGAAACAGATTTTTGACAAAACAAAATATTACCAACAATAAAACATTTTGTCGGCATTAAGTAACCCATTGAAGTTGATATACCGTAAAACAAAATAAACCAAACCTAAGGTTACAGACCCTGGTATTCCCAAGCGATCGCCCATCAAGGTACTAACCAGGATCGGCTTTGCTTAACTTCGGTGATCGTACGAGAAATGGTATTTCAACGTGATGTGGACATAAGCCAACGTGAAAGTGAATATTAGGAAAGGGTGGTATTTGAACTCACATTACCGATTTCTTAATTCGGGCCGTTAACCATTACACCACCTAGTCACACAGGAATACTTAATCTTGAGTACCCTATATCTATTTTCTTTAATTGGGGTAATTGAAGAAAATAAATATCAAGTACTCAAGAGCGGGTGCAGAATTAATTTAAACTCGGAATTAATTTCAATTCGGAATTAATTTCAACTCGGAACTAATTTCAACTCGGAACTAAGGGTTAGGGTAGCACCTGTTAGGGTCCCAGCTATGGGCAAACTGGGGTCAAATCACTACGAAAGTGTAAAAATAGGTTTAAATACCAGAGATATTTTGTAAAAAATGATTACCAGCAATAAGTTTTTTGAGGAAAAAAATATTAGCAGCAATACTTTTTAGAAATAAAATATAACCAGCAATAAAAATTTTCTCAGCATTAAATAAACAATTGAAGTTGATATGACGTAAAACAAACCAAACCATATCTATCTATCTATCTATCTATCTATCTATCTATCTATCTATCTATCTTTTCATATCTATATTTCGAACTCAGACGAGTATAGTAATATAAAAAGACACATACATACATGCATACGCATACACACACATATATATATATATATATATTAGAGAAAAGAAGAATAATGTGGGAGTATTTAAAGACGGACCAGTTGATTGAACAAAGAATGAAATAAAAAAACGCAAATCAAAGACTGTCAAATGCTTTCAAGTTGATTTATTTTTTGGTTTGGTGTAAAGTGCTGACACTGAGATGATCCCGATCCTAAGAGGTTACATTTCGAGGGACGCCAAAGACGCTTGGATTAAACAGAATATATTCTTTTTGTACATGAAAAAAGTCTACTTGAACAAGGAAAGCTTAAAGAAATCGAGACAACATTTGACTGGTATGGCTTTCTTCTCTATTAAAACATCTAGGCTATAAAAAGCATTTCCCTTAATGTTAAGACAAGTCAGGACTTCTTTCTTTCTTTCTTTTTTTCTTTTTTCTTTCTTTCTTTCTTTCTTTCTTATATTTGGTATCATTCTTTTTTTTTCTTTCCTTTACTTAAAGGCTTTCATTTTTTCTTACTTGGTATCTTTGTATTTTTGTTTGTTTCTTTCTTTTATACGTAGCATCTTTCTTTCTTTCTTTCTTTTATGTCAAGCTCCCTCAGTACTTAAATGGTTGTCGCTTGGAAACACCGCCTACTGTAAGCAACATCCCACAATTCGAAATATGTTTCGGATTTAATTAACATACGAAAGGTTGATAAACCGTAAAAAATAAATCAATCTTTCTTCTTATACTTGGATTTATTTCTTCTTTTCTTTCTATAAATTCATGTATCTTTAAAAACGTCCCCTGTATGAGCCTTGCCTTGCTTAATTGATGGCAGCCTATCTTTGCTTTCTTTATGGCGTATCTAATAAGTTACCGGGGAGTTTAAATGTTCATTAATCTTGCAATAAATTACTGCTTGGAAATGTGAGTAATTGTTATTTAAACGCTGAAATGCTTCCTTTCGAAAACACGTAAATTTTCTAACCAAACCAACAAACGAAAATAAATTCTAAAATCTTTGCTACGTTTTACGTCGTATTAAGAGACGTTTAAATGTTACATCCCTTTTAAAATGGCATGGGATTTTTAATTTATGATATCTTACTCTTTGGAACGTGTTAAAAATTCGGGCCAAGACTATTGAATACTAAATATATTAATAATTGATAACTTTGTTATATGTGGGGAAATAAATAAAACTAACAATGTAAGATCAATTTAAATATGACCTATTGATATATAAGTAAATACAACAATAATTATGCATTTTGCAACTTATGATCTTCGCCCTCTCTAAGCTTCTAACTTTCTGGCCTGGAGTAACAAGGTTTCTCACAGGTTTCACGTACAATTTCATTTTCAGGTCTTTTTTCATTGCTCTTTGAACTGTCATAACTGAAACTCCCCTCTCACGTACCAAACATCTTATGAATTGAGTTGGATCTTTTCTTCCTGTTCTGACCGCCTGCTCCAGTTTTCCTCTCTATTGTTCCGTCTTTTTTAAACATTCACCGTCTTCTTGATGGTACTTGAATGGATTTTGAAGATGAAAGTCAGAGTATGAATGTTGGTACCATTGCTGACGGCCTGAATGATCCCCATTGCTCAGCTGGGAAGACAGTGAGGCTGGACAAAATGATTTTATCCTGTTCTATTTCTAGCTGAATAACTCAAAGGGTTTTTCAGTGGTTCTTACGACAAATGGTGTCAAGATGGCTAAACGTCTTATCTGGAAACCTGGAGAAAAGAGACTGAATTAAATTAGTGATGTTTTAGATATTAAACATTTTGTGGGATGGACAATTATCCCATGTTGTTACACGATTTGGACAATTTTGCTGTTACACCCGGTATATGTATGTGTAGTGATGTATGTGTATATATATGTGTAGTGGTGTATGTGTATATATGTATGTGCAGTGGTGTATGTGTATATATGTATGTGTAGTGGCGTATGTGTATATATGTATGTGTAGTGGCGTATGTGTATATATGTATGTGTAGTGATGTATGTGTATATATGTATGTGTAGTGGTGTATGTGCGTTTGAATAAAAGCTTTCTTTAGTATTCGTAATGTTTGCATAATGATATATTTTACTTAAAATTAAATAATGGTTAATACGCGTAATTTTAACAACTAAACTACACACCCTCTTTATCTGGTTTATTTCTTTTCCTTTTCCTTTTCTTTTCTTTTTCTTTCTTTCTTTCTTTCTTTCTTTCTTCAATTTTCTTTTTCTTTTCTTTTTCTTTCTTTCTTTCTTTCTTCAATTTTCCTTTTTTTGATTTCTTTTTTCTTTCTTTCTTTCTTTCTTTCTTTTTTTTTCAATTTCCTTCTTTCTTTCTTTCTTTCTTTCTTTCTTTCTTTCTAATTTACGGCCATATCACATTAAAGCACTTGTTCTCGTCCGACCACCGAAGTTAAGCAACGTCGATCCTGGTCAGTAACTAGATGGGTGACCGCTTGGGCATACCAGATGCTGTGATCTTAGATGTGCGTGTAGTGAAATGAATAACAGCTTCGTATTTGAAATCGCAAAGCCAAGTTCCAATTCCAGTCGGGTTCGTTCTTTTAACTTACGCGCAATTACCCTTGGGAAAGGTATGAATCCACCTGTTTTCTACGCGATTGAAACTTGTATCACTAAATCATTATTATCTCCAAAAAATTCTTACAATCTAATATTTCCTGGCTTTAAATAACCATCAACGGGTTGATAAGTCGTAAAAAACAAATGAATATATCGCAATTCCTGCATGATTGGTCATCATTATTTACATTATGCATAGTCAAACCGATGTCATCATCTTTGATTTAGTTTGATTTATTTTGCTTTACGGCATATCAACACTTCAATGGGTTATTTAATGCCGACAAGATTTTTAGGATAGGTTCGGATTAATGGAATGCGTATTTCTAGTAAGAAATCAGTTTGTAGATCAGGTTTCATTGACGTATTTTGTAAAGAGTGTTTTTGTTGAAAATCAAATGTATTTCTGGTAATAAACAAATATATTGCTGGTATTTTTACTATAAAAATCTACTGTATACTTTCATAGTATTTTAACCCTATTTTGAGGGTCAACTATTTGTTCATAGCTGGGAGCCTAAGAAGTGCTAGCAGACCGGGTCATGATGGACCTCGGAACAACAGCAATTAAGACGTGGTTCCACTCTCCTCAAAACCTGCTAATCATAGACCCTGCTGCTGGGTGTAGATTATCGCCATACCCAGAACGAAGTCATCATCTTTGTTTTTATTTTTACAACGTTTTGGTCGGAGTTTTTGATCCGGGTAACCTTGAGAGAATTTAGGACGTAACCCTTTATTTAATCTACGGGCATAGAATTTCTTTGTTCCATTGTCCAGAGAACAGGACGAGATATTTAATATATAATATTTCTCCTAAAGTCTTTTTATTCTCTTTTACTTCCAGTAGCCAGTCTTAGTGGTATTATTGTCTTGCTTGTATTGAACTGATTAAATATATATATATCTTGCAATATATATATATATATATATATATATATATATATATATATATATATATATATATATATATAAAGAGTGTTGATATTTGACTATGTTTTTATTATATATATATTACACGTTCATCTTGATGTTTCTTTCAGCAAGTAAATAAGTGCAGAAAAGTGATAAACTTCAACAACCATGATCACCCAATTGTGTTTACTCTTATCATTGTAGTGGCTTGAAGTACCCACCCCAGAATAAACAAGATTTTCCCCTGGGTATATCTTCTCTATCCCTGCTGCAATGATGACCCTGATCCTTTATGGACCCTATAGTTACCCTAGAGATGTTTCACTTACCTTTTGCTTCTCCTACCTTTCAACCTTTCATCTATCCCATTTCCGGCCATAAAAGCCACACTGCCGAAAAACAAAGAAAAAGCTCCCAAATTCTCCCTGTTTTCTACTTAGACGGTTGGGTTACCAATACAGCAATTCAGATTCACACCTTTCCAGAATATATATTTTTTTTACTAATGTTCAACCAACATAAGGCCCACGAACCACTCAAGGCAGAGGGTTAATGAATGAGGTGTGTGACATGAATGTAAGATTAGAAAGTAGGAAGTGAAGATTATGTGGATACAGAAGATAAGTAACGTTTGTTAGCTTTCATCCAAGCAGTTCTTGGAGAAAATCTGGCTGAGTGGAACTTCCTCCTTACAAATGGAATACGAGTGAAAGTGAAAGAGAATGCGAAGACTGAAAATGGGGAGGATTGAGGAAAGGAAAAAAAAAAAAAAGAAACAGGGTTAAAAAAGAAAAAGACAGAAGATGGCGATTGAAGTTTTATTTAAATTTTTGAAGATTGTAGTTATCAGGGAAGCAAGAAATCAGAAGGGAGTTTCGCAGATGGGAAGTGCGTGATATTATATATAAAGATTTGAACTAGTGAAACTAAGAAATGTAAGTCTTCCGGATATTTATCATGGCAGTAGCAATAGTGTAGCGACGGATTTGCAACTTTGTGCCGGCGGGAAAGAAGTTGCATGGTTAATTTCGTTTTGGGCCCCTGAATATCTCAGTTTCGGTCGGTTTTTAACGTGGGGACCTGAGGGTTTCCACTCGGACCGCTGGCCTAAGCTGGTGTTAGTTGGTCAGAGCTCGTCTAAGCTAGTCATAGCCGTGATACCATATGTACCAGGTAATCATCAACCGGAATAGTGTATAATAAGTGATTATTTACCCACGCAGCAAGATGTAGCACAAGGCTGAGTTTTAAAGTGGGGTATCCGAGCCCGTAGCCTGGGGCAAAAATTCCATATAGACCACGTAAAAACGGAGTCAGTTTCCCGGGACGAGGCACTGTCCGTCGGCAGTGCCTCGTCTGGGGGGATATACCCTCTGACATGTGCCAGGTTTTCTGCGTGGATTATCTATATATGCCGGCGATGTGATAGAGGCTCAGTGAATTGAGGCTTATTTGATAATTATTGGTCAATAGATTAGATTATACGTCACGTGACTTTCTTTATACTACGTCAGAATTTACACCGACTTTGCTTTCCTTGCTGAAGCAACATTTATTTATGATATACTGCTCCTGTTATATATCGAGGGATTTCTTGGTAAAATCCAAAAAGAATCTGCAATGTTATTAGTCCTGACCTGACATCTGGGCTTCAGTCACTTTCACGCCGCCATAATGTAGTCTCCTTTTGCTTTTTTATAAATACCTTCATGGTAATTGTTTTGATGAACTCTCCCCTATGGTACCTAGACTCTATGAATTTAAGTGCAGTAATAGATTGGTGGCAATCTTACTTTTCCGGTCCTTGCTTTTCAGTTTAAATCCAATGTCAGTCGTTTTCTTAATTTTTGTTTTCTTTATTGTTATCGCTTCTTAATGTTTTTCATATATTCTTTCACACCCATAACCCAGTAATTGGCAGCTGATCTAAAAACTAACCAACAATCTGTTGTTATCTGGAGCAAGGAATGTCTTGTTAATTTTAACATTTCCAAAATAAGACTGTTCTTTTTTTTTAATCGTCTGAGAGAATCATTTCTGCCTTTCGTCGGATGATAATCTCCAGGAGAATCTCATTTAGAAATGTTTTCCACTGACATGAAATGGAATGATTATATTGAAGCAATTGCTAGATATGTTCCAAGGAAAAATGGTTCATTATTTCGTATTAGACAAGAGTCTATCTTATATAGTCATGCTTTGAATATGACTGCAACATCTGGTCTTATGCTTCTGCTATGTTTTTAGAGATTCTTGATAAAATCCAAAGAAGAATCTGCAATGTTATTCGTCCTGACCTGGCATTTGGGCTTCTTGTCGACGTAACGTAGCTTCTCTGTGCCTTTTTTTAAAAATAAATAACTTCATGGTAACTATTCTGATGACCTTTCCCCGATAGTACCTAGATTCTATGAATTTAAATGTGGTACTAGATTGATGGCAATCTTGCTTTCTGGGTTCTTGCTTTCTAGTCAAGTTTGATGTCAAAAAATTTAAATGTAATGTTAATCGTTGTCTTAAAATTTGTCCTTTTATTGTTCTCTCTTCTAAGTGTTTTTTTCTTATATTCTTTCACACCCAGTAACCCCCTGAGTGTTAGTAACTGTGTTGTCTTATTTGGGGTGATAATGATGAAAATAATAAAAAAGAATAGCAGCAAAAGTGAGATCTGTTTTGATGACATAAGCTTCGAGCAGAATTCCAACTCGTATAGAAGTTCCCAAAGTGCGCGCCAGAAAGACGAGGTGTAAGTGTTTTTATAAAAATGCTTTGAAGAAAATTCACAAGTTCATGTGGAATCATAAATAGAGGTCGACGTAAAAGCGAATGGGGGGCAGAGGACTTACAAAGAGTTATTATAGCAGTGAGAAAAAAATAAGAAAGATTAAAACTAAGAAATTGCTCTATTTTAAATGTTCTTCAGTACAAGTTTATACAAAGTTAGTTTGGGGGATTACTAAAAGATGTCATATTATGACATCCACATCGAAAAGTAAAATAAAAGATTTTATCCCAGTCTCAATGTTTTTTTTTTATGGCCAGTGGTTATATCTGTGAAATCGGATCTTTAAAATCAACTTCCAAAATAAAATAATAAATAAATGAAACCTTTTGGGGTCAAGAGACAACAAAATGAGTGTTAAAGATTTTCCGGTCGTGGGCCTATATTAACAATCACAGTTGGGATTAAAACCTGAGTAATTCTGAACCGCACGGCACATTATACCTCGTGGAAGTTAGGATGCCGCCTGTGAGCGTTGCCAGCCGCGCGTCGTGATGTAGAGACAAGAAGAGGAGCGGTAGGTCGAATATTTCATTGGTTGCAGGGAAAAGCTAATCTGTTTGACATGACAGAAGTTGACCCAAGAGACGCTATCTACCTAATCAAGACCGTGAAAGTGAATCCCTGAAATAAACAACCGTATATATGGGAAACAGGATTCACGTTTTACAGCCTTCGTTTCCATTGTGAGCGTGCAACAGACCCTTTCCCAGCTTTTTGGGGCGCACACTGAGAATAGGGGCGAAACGTGGTGTTTGTACGGCCGGTGAAAAGTTGAAGATAAGCCACGTTCTATGTTTACAAAAAGGCGAAGTCCAACTGTTGATCTACTATTGATTTTTATATTGTTTTATATAAAAAGGAAATATTCTTTCAACCCTCTGCGGCCAATCTGGAGATCAACAGACCTCTCACTTTACCACAAGATCCGGATCTTCAACACCAACGTCAATTCGATCCTACTTTACGGCTCAGAAACTAAGACCATCACCCACAAACTTCTGACATTTACCAACCGATATCTCAGGAACATCCTCAATATCAGGTGGCCGGAAGTCGTCTCCAACGACACACCGTGGGACAGGACCAGACAAGCCCTTACTATTATTAAAAGCCTAATCAAGTGCCATAATAACAATGACCCGCACGCTTTCAACACTCTGCGGCTAATCTGGAGATCAACAGACCTCTCACTTTA